AAATAGTCTTTTCTTTGTCTTATGGAATTTTTTGAGATTTTTCAATAAAATATTTCTTTATTTTAGGATATTTTAGAAAAATGAGTTCGATTATTCGCATGTGCCCCTATTGGGGGCACATGTGAACATGCCTGGGGCACATATGAACAAGATTAAAAACACAAAGCAATCATCATATTTCAAAGAAAAAAGTCTTTAATGTAACAGATATAGATACGCATTATACTGAAGAGATTGTAGCATACTGTGTGAATTTAAATTGTATACAACAGTACAGTCAATAAGAAAATAATTTTTCAGCTGTACAACAATTTTTCCGCTGTTGAGTTTTTCGCAACTTCATGTTCCTCAGGAGTTGTAATGGGCCTTTTTCTTTCCTCTCTAATACTCTTTCATGCTTTTTTTTTTTCATTTTCTGTATCTTTTCATTTGTAGCTTTAGCAATTCTATCTTTCTCAAGTGTATCAGTTAAAATGCGCAATCAACCATTTAATAAAAAATTAATAAATTAATTATGGAAAATTATTAAATAATAATTTTAAATGCATACATATTTTTTAAACTTAAAATATCATGAGGATAATAATCTTAATACTATGTAGGGGCACATGTGAACTGTTTACATCTGCCCCAGATGTTTTGTTCACAAGTGCCCCATCATCCTTCTTAAACCTAATTTGAAAAATAAAGAATTTTTAATTGAGTAAAAAAAAAATAATTTTCATAAACTTACCTGATTGTTCATATAATGGTCTGCAATAGTTAATTTTAGTTTATTAGTTGATTTATACTATGCTTTCACTTGAAGAAGCGAGTGATTATAATATATACAACACCAGCTGATACAAATAAATTGTCAGAAGAGAACAACACAATGTCTCATTGTTCTGAAAGTTTTGCAGAGAGGTAAGACTAGTACTGCCATCAATTGAAAATTTTTCAAGATTTTTTATTTCAAATCATATAGGTAAAACATACCACCATGTTCACATATGCCCCCTGTTCACATGTGCCCCGCTCTCCCCTATATCTTTAACCAGTATTTGATGCAAAGTTTCTCATTATCCCAAAGTTGAGTTAAATGAAAGATCATTTTATTTTAGTAAAACCGTAAATTGTGACGTATGATCGAGAAATACTTCCAAGGTGCAACTAACTGTAGCAAATTTATGTAAAAAGGCGCAAAACTTTGACGGTGACTGTAAACAGATCGATATTTGTTTATGACGCCATGTTTTCTTTACAACTCGGTCTCGGGGTATCGGGATGACTTATGTATATAGTTTCAAGTATAAACTTATTTAGGCAGGTAAATGTTTTATTCACATTAATTAAAGTTCATTTCTTTTATGTTGCCTTTTTAAATTTGGCTGGAAGTATAAAATAGTTAGAGGTTTGTCATAAGATTACCTACTTACGATAAATAGTTTCGTTACGGTAAATAGCAACCTTGGTCTGCATTTGAGCAATTTAAAAATATCAACTCTTGGTACAACCTTCTATTGATACTTGAAACTAGTGAGAATACCAAAATATGGTAAAATTGAGCTCCATTTTATGAAGCAGAGAAAAAAGGGCAATAAAGAGAATAAAGAAATATTTGAAAATATATCATTATTATAATGGCATAACAGCAATAGCAAACCTTTAGAATGAGTTAAAAAACATTACTTATGGAAAAACGTTTTTTTAGTTACCTTAAAACGTGGAATTTAACACTTCAGCTGATATGACCAAGAAATCGGTGAGCCTTGTGGTCGAAAGTTCTAAGTAAATTTTAAGTTCGTTTAGTACATAGATTCTCAACCTTTTTAACGTTGCCGCCCCCCTAAGGAGAAGAAAAAAATTCAACGCCCCCCTGTGTGTTGTATAAGACGAACCCCCTGTATAAGACGCAATTTTTTCTGCATTAAATTTGTTTGATTTTTTAAAAAAAAATTTGTGTGCAAGTTAACTTGATACTTTTCAACCAGTAGGTAATCGCGGTCTATTTGTTACAATTAAAATAAGTATGGTAATGAAAAAAAAATACCACGAAGAAACCTACGGTTAAAAAAAGTCACTTATTCTTAATTAGATAATTAAAAAAACACCCAAAAATAGTTTTTCTACTCTAAAAAGTAGTATCAAAGAAACAATCAACTAACAATGTCAGGGGGATGATTTTGCTTGATAATTCAGAGTATGTTTCTTAACGTTCGGTTTAATATTTTTAGTGCGGTAAAGTCGCAAGCCCCCGCGTTTTCTCTATTTTGTGACTAGATCAGTCATTGCACTGAATCTTTGTTCTGCAATGTAAGAGCAAGGGAAGGCAATAGTCCAAAGTCTAGGGTAGAGGTGACAAATGTCGCTTTGAAGCCAAACTTCTGTGAGACGATCACTATTTCAAATTTTCATTAGTTGAAAGTTTGACCACTTCCTCCTGAATCTAAACCTCTGCTGTTTCAATATTCACAAAAGGGGTCATAACCCATTGAGGGACTTCAAGGGACAAAACATCGTTAGAACGGTCAGAAAATTCCATGTGTAAAGACTCAAGGTGTTGACAATATGTTTGTGTATCATCGACAGAATTTTACCATTCATTTTAAGATCCGATAAGATTGGAAATTGGCTAAACACATTCCGATCAAAATTCTGCTTTTTCAAAATGATTTTCTTTAGAAAGAAAGAAACAACTGATTTTGTAGTGATCAATATGTAAACTAACACCACTAAAGTTTCTAAATAAATCCGTTATGTATGCAACGTCTCTTTTAAATTCTCGCAATCTGTCTCTCAGAGCTCCATCTCTGTCTTCCATAAAAAGGATTCTAATACCTTGGATTTGGAAAGTCAATGAATCTTGATGTGTAAAAACAAGCGATTGAATTCTTCATTGTTTTTCTTAGACAGTTATCTGAATAATCGATCTTTGAAAGCATTACTGCGAATTTTGTTCACAGCAGAGATCGACATATTGCAATGACTGATGCAAACGGTTGCTGAGATTTTTTTCAACTAAATACTGTCTGTGAATCATGCAATAAAAATATAAAATATGAGGTTCCTCCCTCTCCAAAAAGACGATAAACCCACTATGTCGACCCACCATTGCAAGAGCTCCATCAGTGGCAACAGATGTAATATTCGCAAAAGGAAAGTTCTTTTTTTAAAAAATAATCTTTGACAGCATTAACAATAGATTCACTTTTGGTACCTACAATCAAGCTTCCTTCAAAATGCATCTTTTGAATAGTTTTTCCTTCCTTGACAAATCGGACGTGCTCCAATAGTAAAACCTCATTACTTGGCAAGGTTGACTCAGAAACTTGAAGGGAAAATACGTTGGATATCAAATGTTTGCATAAGGAAACTCCAACGTCTTCAGCCATCTCACCAATTCGTCGTCGCACAGTATCGATGATTAATGTGATATTTTTTATTACATTGAATGCGGCTGAATGGTGCAAAACTGTTTCTAAAACTTCCTTTATGCTGGCAGTACTTTGCTGATGGCATGGAAGATTCCCAGATTTAGCAATTAATTTTGATATATTATTAGAGGCTACGTCGCATCGTCGCATTTTTTTTGATGAGGTTGCTAGCAAGCCTGAGACAGAAGGTGCCTTCAGAAATTTATCCTTGATGTTGTTTGCGGAAAATGGTAAATATTTATTTCGTTTGTCAAGGCGAATTTTTGTCAAATGTTTCTGCAAGCGGGAAGGTTTCATTGCCTCATTAGATAAAAATTTGTTACAAAGTATATAGTACATGCGTAGTTGAGAAAACAATGGATGAAAATCAACTATTTCTCAAAATTAATAAATAACTTACGATAAAGAAATAATTCACTCTCGTACCTGGCCAAATAAACAATGAAATGAAATCGAAACAAGGGGGAAAACGGAAAGGAAGAGCACGAAAACCATCATAAGAAACATGGGTCAAATCAAACATTCATACTAAAAAAGCATGCATTTCAATGATCACCAAATGACTTGAATGAGTCAGAGGCAAAAACCTGACACATGCGCTGTACTGGTACAAATTGGAGAATATGGGTAGATTAAGTTCATTTTATTGTTGGTACAAATTGTGAATCAGATAATCTTCATTTATTATATTAATTTAATCTTTTTTTCTTCAATATCAATTTCAGGTTAATTTTATTTATCTAATTAATCTCAATTTAATAATTTCATTTTTTAATTTTAAATTTGAATGAGAAAACATGCTCATCGCCCCCCTACTGCNTAGGCATATAAAATTTAAAAGTGCTTTTTATCGAAAAGTTTTATCTTGAGTATAACCATTTGGAAATTTAAAAGTGTATAAATTGAAAGTTTTAGTGCACATGAAGGCATCTGGAAATGATCGGGATTGTGTTTGTTGATAATTTATAGTTATAATAAAATTTACTTTTTATTGTTAAAAGTTTCATGTACTTCATTAGTCAAGTGTCTATTTTTGGAACCTGGGTAACCGTTAGCAAAATTCAATTAAAAGATCACCCACTGGCCAAAGTTTGAAGGGTACAATACTATGCCATTACAGAAGAAAGAACCTAAAAGATAATTACTAAACACAAGGTGACCGAAAAGCTAACTTAAGATCCATTAGTCTTTGACGATTCGTTCTCTTTTCTGGAGATTTTTTTTTTATCTTGGTTGCAGTTGGTCGCAATTATAATATCAGATATCATTACTTTTTAAATTTTTTTACTTGAACTATTTTTCTTTTATTTATTTAAGAAAATGCCATACACGAGAGCGGGTCGTTGAACGTCACTGGATCGGAAATTCGCGACTTGGTAGTAAAAGTTTTTCTGCAAGGAATTGAATGAAAGCGGTTTCTTAATTGTTGAAAACTATATAAGCAACAATTGAAATTAATATAAACAACTACTGAAAAAAGTGCACATGAAAAGTGCAATGGTCTTCACGCTTTCAAGTTTTAGCTGTTTTTAGAACCTTTTATATTTAAGCATGTGAATATCCAGGTGTCTAAATCGTACTTACGAATGCAGTCTTGTTTGTCATTCCTCTTGAAATTCTCCATGCATGCACAAGCCCCCATTTTACATTCTTCAAACGGTTTTGTGCATTTGATATCCATAAATGGGCACTTATCAATATCTGGAATAAATTTCAGAAGAATAAAATGAAAATTACAGTTCTCATAATCACTTTTGTATAATCCGGCATTTTTATTTCGATGATCTTTTATTTTTCTTAGGTTAATGTTTATTGGCTAATCAGAAATTTCAACAAAATTTGTTCCATTAAATATCTAGTTGAGTTCAATAGTTGATATATACGAACGTGTTAAAAAGAGAAAGTTAGAGACAATAATACTTCTTAGAAGATAGGTGGATCTAGATATCGATACAAAGAGCATAGAAAGTTACTAGAATGCTTGAAAAGATGTTATGCGACTGAAAATCTTTTTAATCTCAAAATAAACTTTTCAAAAAAATATCATAAAATGCATATTATAAAAAAATATATTATAAAAATATATATTTTCAACTTTAAGAGAAAATAATAAGTTATATTAAATTCAATAATATGTTTTGTGTAAAACTTTGTTCAGACACATATTTATAATTAAAATGATTCTCAAATATTGGGAATAAATTTTTCGTATTATTGATAAATTGGTAATCTCTTTAGCGAAAATAGTTTTATGTATAAGTGTTTTTGTAATGTTTTAATGTATAAATGCTTTTAAGTGACAGTCTTTTATTCTATGATTCTTGGCTTAATAAATTCAATTTTTATTGGGTTTTTACTCAATACTTCTTAATAATTCAAAGGCTTATGTGATACGCCATTTTGTTATAGTCACGCCGTGTCGAGCCTTTTAAAAAGTTTTTTAAAAAGCTCGATTTTTAGTTTCTAGCTTTCAACCGTTTTTTGAAATGTTTTGTCGAATTCGGAGCTGTTGGTATCTCTGAATATACGTTTCGTCCTTAACGGATAGCATATAAGAAATAGAGCTGGATTTATTAACTTAAAAGCTGAAATAATAAAACAAGTTAAATGTTGTTGGAATTGTTGACAAATTCTTACTTTCACATTGCTTCGTTTCATAATTGTAATATTGGTCTGTTGAGCAGTCACAATATCCGATTCTTGTTTTGAAATCAAATCGGCATTTTCCAGCTTGGCACTCGGATTTTCCAAATCCTTCTGAGCACCAATAACTATCTCCACACTCCGGTCCACCAAATGGATATTTACATATACATCTTTCCTTTTCATCTTCCATCACACAGACTCCAAGATTTTTGCAGTTGTTTTTCTTACATAGTTTGTACTCTGAAAAGATGCAGAATTAATTATTTCAATAATTTTGTTACGTTGTTATTGTTTTAACAATTGCCAATACCAACAAGTATGCTATGGGAATCTATAGCAATTTGAAGGCAGTGGTTGAGTTTCTTGTTTTTCAGTGTCGTCATTTATGGCCAAGAATTCGACTTTAGCCACACACACACGTGCCACAGCCCGTTTTACAGGGAAGAAAAATTCATGCTCCATTGAGTAATTCACAAATTTTTATTTAATGATCAATCTTCAAATCAGAATCTCCTGAGGAATTGATTTGTTATAGGGACTTAGAGGACTTTTATTCTGACAGATTTAACGTGCATCAGTGTTCCAAATGTTATGCTTTTCAAAAAAGTGTTTTAGTAGTGGAAGAGTAAAGTCGATGAAATTGTGATTGTACGTTGGTGTTTCGTGAAAAAATTAGCCTACAATTCGAAACACTATCAAAATGCTAGAATGGTAGAAATCACATAAATCTCGATGAGCTGCTGAGGAAGCGGCATTAACCGATTCATCTGTATTAATAAACCGATGATGAGGAGTAGTGAGGAGGAATGGAGACGGGAGGAAGAGGGGGTGCTCGTCACCAAAAAAACGAGAGGGGGTTCGTGTGACATGGGCAATCAAGAAATGTTGAATGGCATGGGGTATAATTAAATGACAATATAATCATAAACAATATAAAATAAGATAATCATGAAAATTATGATGATCGATATTATTAAGGAAGGTCTGAGTTAAATATAAAATATATATGTATATATGTTTACAACGTACGATAATCAACCCAATTTGAATAAAATATAAGATAAAAATAAAATAGATATATAAAATAATCAATGAGAGAAAATTATGTCGTGAGCTCTATTACAGTGGTGACCCAGGCGTCCTGGTTGAATAACCACACTAGTCTTATTCCTCGGAGACGACCCCTTGGGGTTGTATCAAAATGCTAACAAGCATTACCATATATATATGTTTAAATTATTCAAATGTAACGGTGGTGAAAATCTTTTTAAACCATATTTATTTAGTTAGGGATAAAATATGATTGCACAAAATTTGCCACCATCCTAAATATAACCATTAAATATTCCTCGAAAACTGGAAGATATGGGAAATATGGTAGTTTAACAAACTACCATTCAAATTCGAGGCGCATTGATTCAAACAGCATTGACTCCATTCTCATTGTAAAAGAATAAGCGTCTTTTACTAGATACTGTTCGAAACATAATACAAAATTGTTTAAATCCTGCTAGTGATCTACATTCAGTCTTTGTACAATAATTTTATCTGCATTTATTGTAGAGACATCATTTGAAGCTATATATACTAGTATGTACGTATATCTGTGTGTGCGTGTGTGTGATATACGAAGATTTTATATACCTGATTTAGCGTTGCTAAGCAACGACAACAACAACAAAAATGTCCCGAAAAAGTACATGCAAATTTCAAACTACCTTATATAAAAACTCCCATCTTGATTTATATGAGTTTCTTAACAATATATTTTAATTAGAAAACTTTAAAACTTCTAAAAAAATATTATCAATAACTTACTTTGAGTTGTTGAAGAGAAACTTGTCTCCGATGTTGCCTGAGAACTTGACGTTGATTGAGAAGAAATGAACATAGATGAAGTAGACGATTCAAAGCCTGTTACTAATGATGAACCATGTGGAGTAGATTCAAATGGTTTGAATGACGATGAAGAATGGTTGGAGTCATCAGTGGTGTACGTTGGTCCATACGTAATGGTTGTATGATCAGTCAAATTTGTGTAATCAGTAAAATCAGAAATGTCTGATGAAGATGAAGAATAGTTAGAATCATCAGTGATGTTTGTAGGTTTATACGTAATCGTTGTATGATCCGTTAAATTTGTGACATCACTAGTGATAGTGAAAATATCCCGAGGTGATGACGAGGACACATATGTTGAGGATTTTGGTACAGGGCTTGTATCTTTCCAAGTTGATGTTTGCGTAATTGTAGATGTGATTGGAGAGGATGCTTCTTTTGTCGGAATAGTAGATGTGATTGGAGAGGATGCTTCTTTTGTCGGAGTAGTAGATGTGATTGGAGAGGATGCTTCTTTTGTCGGAGTAGTAGATGTGATTGGAGAGGATGCTTCTTCTGTCGGAGTAGTAGATGTGATTGGAGAGGATGCTTCTTCTGTCGGAGTAGTAGATGTTATTGGAGATGAAGCTTCTTTTGTCGGAATAGTAGATGTGATTGGAGATGAAGCTTCTTTTGTCGGAATAGTAGATGTGACTGGAGATGAAGTTTCTGGTGTCGGAATAGTAGATGTCTTTGTTTTTATAGTACTAGTAATAGTTGAATTAACTGTAGATGTAGCAGGAGAGGAAGTTGCTATTTCTAAAATATAAATATTCATATTATAGCTGTTATAATCTATAATAATATGTTTATAATTTAAAATAATTCAAATTAAGTATAGTAATTAGGTCTTTTGAGTTTTAGTCTTTTTAGACCCATACATTATTTTTGTCTTTCACTAGCTTTGTAATAATACACAATAACTTGTAGGTGATAAAAGAAAACATTTCAAATAGTAGTTTTCAGTTTTATTTTAAATTTAACGTGTCTTAGAAATGATATGCAACTAGAAACATTTTTTTTAAAAAAAGTGTAAAAAAGTGGCATAAAAAAAGTGGCTTAAATTTATTATTTGAAAGAATCTAATAGTTTCTTAGTTTAATTTAAAAATTAAAATTCAAACCCTACTTTCGGATCTATTAATATGTTTTATAAGAGTTATGAAATATTTTTGTAGTTAATGACATAATTAAATACAGTTTCTTATTTCAATAATATAACTTTTTAAATTTTTCCACGGGCAAATCCGCCCTGCAAATCCGAAACTTTTCAAAACACTCAACGTACCAAATTTTAGGTACGTTGAGTGTTTTGGACACTTTGCTTCATAGGAAGTAACTGACAAAAACATGAAAGAACATTTCATTTGGCAATTAACAGCCATCCAGTAACCTTAAAAAGCTTTTGTCACCAAATTAAAAAGCCAAAAATGTGAATTTTTAAACGCAAATGGTTTGAGTTCGTTCTCAAAGGCTCTTTCTTAACTACATGAATTGATTCTTCTTCTTCATGAATTGTTGCATTTTAAGGAGAAGTTACTAATGTTTGTAACTAATTTGATTCTGTAACTGTTATAAATTAATTTTTGCGTAAGATTTCTTTTTTAGCTAATGAAATTAATGCTAATAACGAACTTTTTGCAGAATTACAGTCAGAAGAAAAACCGAAATGCTATATATGCTGCAATTTATTGTTAATAACATTGCTTCAAATTTGTCTTAAAATGTGATATTTTTCCTTTTCTTTGAGAGATTCAAAAAGCACTTTTTAATGATATGAAGCAAAAATGAAGGCAAAACATATATTTCCTACAGTCTACGTAAAATTATTTTAGCTCTTCAAATCAAAACCACTAACATTTCACCGGTATCCACTAAACTCTTGAGTTAACCGAATTGATCTAGCTACTTCGTGTAACAGCTTCTGCTATAAACGCTTTCTTGTTACATTGAAACCTTTGGACAGTTTCTAATTTTTCTAACTAAACCATCACTTGCTGTTTTTTCATCTCCTTGATGTTTCTCTTAAAGATACATCCTTTTTCGAGATCTGTTGCTAAGTCATGGAGCACTAAAGATATTCACTTTTAGTTTTGGTTTCAGGAACACCCTTTTCATCTCAAGAGTCTAATTCAAATTGTTACGTTTAGTCTAATCAAATTGTCGCAATACGTCTTGCGTGTTACAAAAATTAAGGCAGTTTCATTTTTTGATATATTGTCTAGGTTGGTTCAACGATAAAAAAATGCAAGTTTTTCATCTCCCCCTGCCACCACATGAGCCACCATCTTGAAGAAGGAACAAATTTTATAAAATAAATTAGATTTTTTTTTAATTTTAATTTCTTTATCTTGTTTTAAAATCCAAGGGTATTATTAGCTAGAAATGAAGAATTTTTATCATCTTCTTTCTTCGCTGATATTTTCCACTAACGGATTATGACAAGCTTTTTGCGAAATGCTAGGATCTATCCGCTGAACTAAATTAAGTACGAAATATTGCAAATTATTCACTTTTACCTGTTATTATTAATAATAACCAATGAAGTTTGGCCAAAGTGATTAAACGGTTTATATAGATAGTATTGGGACATGGGTGTGCCTCTTTGTATATGTGTTATGGTTAAAGTGATAAAAGTGGTTATTATTAAAACTAACCGGTAAAAATTTATAATAATTGCCTCCTATGGTCAAAGTGAGAATTAAAAAGAGGAGATTTCTGTATCGTGATCTGTGGTGGAATAATCGCGAAATTTTGGCAGCTTCCTCGAGAAACTTTAAAAAAAATGTAGCACAGAAAAGGACCTACTAGAAGGGTATAAACTCATAGGCATCAACGGGGAAACATCTACATGCTTTTTATTTTTTTATTTTCCCAATTTAAAATCAATTTTGCGCTTTGGCAATTGTAGCTGACGAGGCGGATCACAATACAGAAATATCCCCGATGAAAACGCGAAGGAATTACATTCACCATACTGCATTAGTTATTATTAATAATGACCGGTTAATATGATAATTTTGCTCACATTATTCACTTTAACCAGCTAGTTTAGTTATTATTAATACTGACTGGTTAGACTATTATATATATGTTGACTGACTATTCACACTGACCGTAACAGATATGTTTCCCTCTTCTAATCTGAATTGTTGAAACCTTCTCCAGTTACTTGCAAAGTAACCTGTAGCCATAACTAAAAGTATATCTTTAATAGTGATGAAAATATTATTTGATATTATCCAGAATTTTAATCATACAATATTTGCTATGATTTAGAAGGAAAAAAATGTCAGATCTCCAAATAACAAAAAAAAAAATTTCGCTTTTATTAAAATCTGGGCATAGTAAGTGCTGCTGTAATTCTAGTGTAAAGTAGAAATGAAAAGTTTTTGTACCTATGCATTTTTTGTTGTCCAATTTATATCCAGGTTGGCAGCCACATAAGTATTTAGACACATTTTGTTTGTCATTAATGCAAATGAAGAAGTCGCCTCTTCCCTGACATTCTTTATTTCCCCCATAATCTTCGCATCCTGTCTTGGCTGAAATATAAAAATGAGTTAAGGTGAATACACCACTTCAAACGAACGAATGTAATAAATATAGAACTATAAAATAAATACAATATAGTATAATTTTTATAAGTTTAAAGGGCTTATTGTTATCTATTTCTTAAATAATAAAATTAAATAACTTTTAAAACTATGTTTTAGAAGCGGATAAAAAAATATTTTTCTTTTTCACACCAAAATAGATAAACTTAGGAATTATAACTACATCAATTTAAATCTTAATACCAACTACTACGCTTTTTTAAAACAATTTTTTGAGTTGTAAACGTTTACATACCTGCCAACATTCACTCTTTTCGGGAAGAGATTTTCCAAGTGGTAGTTAAACAATTACCGAAAAACTATCTTCCTCAAAAATATATTTATATTTTAATCAGGTTGAAATTTGATATCGTAAGGACTAATATGCTTTTTTATATTTGTTGTAATTATTTATGTGTAGTGATGGTCAAACTGATTTAAAATTATTATTATAATTCAAAAAGTTTAGTGAAATAACATGAATTTCACTAGCACTTTAAATATGAAAATAAAATCTTCCGAGAAAACTGGAAGAGTTGGCAGCTATGCGTTTAAAACCAAAGCTTGCAGAATTTTTGGTATTTTGGGCAATATTTTAAAAGTGGCGTTGCATACGGGATTTTAAATCATAGTGGTGTGGAAAATAAGTTCAAATGAATAAAAAAATAATACATTAAGACATAAGCTCACGCTCCACTAGAATAAATTTTTACAAAAAGCGTAGAAAGTTGGCAGCCCAGTACTTAATAGTAGTAATAAGTTTCGACAGACGCATGGAAAAATTTTGATTGATGCTGTGAGGAGGAGTCCGAAAACAAGTTTCTCCTGTTGACGGAGGACAGAGGTGTATATAAATGACACAAAGTATTGTGAGATACAAAAGCGAGGACATAACATCATTTTTCCACATAATTAGGAAGCACTGATATTTGTCAAACAGCTAAATCTTTTTTCAGCAGGAAACTGACGGAAATCTTAGGGTAGGAGATTTGGACAGTATGGTGGATATTCAAGGCACTTTGAACCACAAATTGCAATATGGATTTGCATTGTATAAAAGCAGAACTCCATACGTGAAAAGGCTAGGCCGATTTTTTTCGAATTATAGAGCAAGATGTAAAAATATCTCGTCACATTGATAACTCAAATCTCTAAAAAATCCCAGTTCAGCAAAAAAAAAAAAAAAAAAAAAAAAAAAAAAAAAAAAAAAAAGGACCAGACGGAGAAATTAGTCTAAACTTAGCACTGGCATTGCGACAGACATGACATCTTTTTAGCCTTTATTTATGCCATCTTTTAAGCTCAACCGTTATCATATTTTTTCCATTACTGTTAGAAAACTAGAGAGAACTACTGTTAGAAACTCCTTTTTGAACTCACACATGTTTCAAATTTATTTCGTAGGTGATGAACTTTAAGTTTTTTGTATTAGGTGTATCTAAAATATATTTTTTTTTTTTTACATTTCAGTCAAACTGCAAAATTTAGATTTTAATTTTGTTTTATTTCATTTTAATACTTTTTTTCTTTTGACTTTTCTATCTGTTAGTTTAACATTGGAAATACGTCAAACGTTTGATTGATTTTTGACTTGCTGTGTTTCCCAAACTTATGAATTTTGTGTACCCTTTATAAATTTTCCGTAACGCTGTGTACCACTAATACAAAAATGAATGTATTCTTTACTATGAAACAATTGCACAAAAGTTAAAAATCTGTTGACACCACTGATTATTAACTAGCTGTTGACACCACTAACACTATTAACTTTGCGAAAAATAGCCAATAGAAAAAAAGTAATCGTAAATTTTCATGACTAGCTTTGTTTTTAAATTTCTTTTTTGAAATTTTCGTTTGTTGCAAGATATTTCGCATACACTTGGTGGTGCCTCGCACTGTTCCCGTACCCTTGGTGGTACGCGTACCACACTTTGGGAAACATGGGTTTATGGGATATTTTTAACTTATATTGTCATTAGTCACTCCACTATCGTTGAAATTTGTGACCTCTTATTAATAAAGAAAGTGGACAAAATATCGATTGAGGAAAACTTGTGCTTGTTGCCGTCGGTAAATGATTTAGGCTTTAATTATCAACCATCAAAGTGTTTAACCCACTGACGGTTCTGCACGTAAAAAGTCTCATTTTAACCTGCAGTCTTCTTTGCATAGCAAAACCGGTTTTCCCATGTTAACTGATAGGGGAACTGTGTGTAGGGGAGAAACATTCTTCCAATTTTGCCCATTTCCTTAACCGCCAGTGGGTTAAAA